TCTGGCAGCGGACAAGTCTGTCCCCTTGGCATGGGATCGATGTGAGCTGCCATGGACCGCAAGGGGGACACACAGTGGACGGCCTGTGGCGGGCACTCCCCAGCTCACTCGGGCTAAGCCTGGCCCCTAGAGGTTGGAAGGGTGGCTTCCCAGGACCAAACATCTGACCTGCGCCACTGCCAGAACCTCAGGTCACAGGAGGTCACAGCAGAGACGCCCAAGGCTCCTGTGAGCAGCCCCCCCGCCCAGTGGGCCCATCAACCCCCACACTAGTAACCACCAGCAAGACCCCCCCTGCACACACTGTTCGCAAACTTGGGACATGTGACAGTGGGCGGGTGGATGGGCTCTGAGGGGACACACTTTCTCCCTGCCCAGAACCCCCAGCTCACCCAGTTTCTCACAGGAGGGTATCCAAGCGATCAGAAACCTCAGAGGGGCCTGGTCACGGTGCAGGACAGGAGTCCCTGTCCCAGGGCTTCCTGTAGTCCCAGGAAGCAGGGAGCCCGAGAGGGCTTGGAGATGCTCTGGTGCCCAAGGAGACCTTTCTCCCTGGCCAGGCCAGGCTGGTAATGCGGCTGCCAGGGGGCAGGGACGGGGACACTGGTAGAGGAGCTCACAGGCCCGCTGACCACCCGGACGCTCAGCTCCCTGGCTCCCCCACAAAGCCCCAGCAGGGCCAGCACACAGTCTGCTGTGCTTGGCGGCAGGGGTACTTTCAAAAGTCCAGGTGACTCGGCCAGGGTTTTTGTGCCCAGTGTCCTGTGACAGTAGTGTCCAGTGGGGGCCTCAAGCACTTTCCCCAGAACAGAGTACTTTCTGGAATCTCTTCTGTCCTGACACTGGGTAGTGTGCTTGTCAGCACCTGGACAGCGAGTCCCTCCCTGGGGCCCCAGGCAGTGGCCTGACAGGGGCCTCTGCCCCAAAGGCTCTATACTCCTGCCTCAGCAGGACCTATACCCATCACAGCCCCAGACCTGCCACTCCTGACCCACACAGAGCCTGGACCGACCCACTCCTGACCCCACAGCCCTGGACCTCCCCACTCCTGACCCCCACAGCCCCGGCCCTGCCCACTCCTGACCCCCACAGCCCCAGACCTCCCCACTCCTGACCCTCACAGCCCTGGCCGACCTCTCCTGACCCCCACAGCCCTGGGCCTCCCCACTCCTGACCCCCATGGCCTCAGCATCCCCTCCTTATCAGACACTGGGCATTAACCCAAAGCCCACCTAGCACCAGACCAGCATGGTGGGGCAGGGTGATAAGGATCCCACGAGCAGATGGTGGTGCCCTAAGGGAGCCCAAGAGTAGGGGTGCACAGTGACCCTAGCCATCCTGCAAGCCCTGCAGAACCCAGCCAGGGGCATCTGACAGGGTATTTCTGGTGTTACTCCAGGAATGAAAGCCTGCCCTGCTGTCTCCAGGGCCCCTGGGTTGTGGCCTCAGTGGCCAGCAAAGTGGCTGAAGGTTCAAGTCGCCCAGAAGCCCCTCAGAAGCTTCCAAACAAGCCACGGAGAAGCTAGACCCTGCTCTGCAGCCTAGGGGCCACGGGAGGAGGGTAGGGGCCTGCTCCAGACCCCAGAGAGCCAGCACCCTGGGCTCCTTGCCCAGTGGGGGTCCCTTGCTGGGAGCCACAGCTGCCCTCCACAGCAAGGGAGGTAGAGAGGGATGGAAGGAGACCCCCTCTGCGCCCCGCCCCTGTCCACCTGCTGGCCTGAGATAAGCCAATGCAAACAGCCCATTTTGGCAGTGTGGGGACTTCCTTGGCACAGGATAAACAGGCCACATCCAGGCCGCAGCGGCAGGGGGTGCTCCTCACAGTCAGGGAGCTGGGACCAACACACACCCCACTGAGGGGGGCCAGGTCTGGGGAGGGCAGGGCAGAGGAAAGTTGGTGGTGGGGATACAGGGAGGTGAAGCAGGGGATCCAGGACAAGGGGAAGAATGGAAGAGGAAGTGGGGAGTCAGGCAGGAAATCAGTTGGGGGCAGGTCAGGAGTCAGTCAGGGAGCAGGAGCCAGGGAGTTAGAGTTGGGCTGGGAGAGAGGCGGGGGGTGGGGTAGGGTAGGGAGCCAGTCCTGGGAGACAGGGCAGGAGGGCAGCAGGTAGGGAGTGTGGGGGGACGGGAATGACACACGACTGGCAGGGAAGCATTTGGGCGCCAAGGAGAGTGTAGGAAGTAAGGCCAGGGATTGAGGAGAAAGTTGGGAAGTTGGGGGGAGGAGTGGTGTAGGAAGTCCGGGAAGGAGGTAGTGAAGCAGGAGGGGGGTAGTTAGGGTAGGAGGGAGCAGGTAGTGGGGGCAGTTAGGGAGGAGGGACGACAGGTAGGGAGGGGGCAGCTAGGGAGAGGAGAGAGGGCAGGCAGGGAGTGGGGGCAGTTAGGGAGCATCCAAGCCCCCCTACCCTCTCACACCTCTTCCCATTAGCCTCCCTGTTGGTGGTCCGAGCCCCCACCCACCCACCCACGCAGGCACACTCACTCCTTGACGTTGGCCTCCCCGTTGGGGGTCCGGGCCGCCCCCCTCCCTCTCGCGCACTCACTTCTGGGCGCGGGGAGTGGGGGTGTCCGGCCCCCGAGCCCCGGCCGGTCCCACACTCACTTCTTGACGTTGGCCTCCCCGTTGGGGATGCGGCGCAGCTTCTTCTTCTTGAGGATCTTGACGGCGCGGCGGCACAGCGTCTCCGAGTCCAGCACCTCCTTCACCTTGCCGTAGGAGCCCTCGCCCAGCAGGTCGCCCATCAGGTACTTGCCGATGAGCTTGGCGCGCTTGCGGCGCGGCTGGTAGATGACCTCGGTGGAGTCGATGCGGTGGATGAAGGTGTCCATGCCCACCGACAGGAGCTCGCCTTCCGAGAACATGGCCAGCGGCGGGGGCTCAGCCTCATCCATGCCGCCCCGCGAAGTCCGCGCACTCCAAGTGCTCAGCTGGGCGGCGCCCAGCTCATGCCCCGGCCTCTC